GTTTGGAAAAGTAAGGGAAAAAAAACAGATCGAGGTAGGAGACACTGGCTACGTTGATTGAGCAAATGAGAGGCAAAGGAACCATCCAGGAAGAGGAGCCCAGTTGGAGCAGGAGCTCAAAAGTGGGTCCTCTGTGAGCTGGGGCTATGGTACTGAGCAGCACCAGCTGGGCAGTTCCTGTCCTACCAGCCAGGGAGGGACGCCAAGGTTTTCACAGCGTTGGAGGAGACCTGCAGGGAGGTTCCAAAGCTGCTTCCCTGGTCTGAAGAAGTGGCAGATGTGTCTGCTGGGAAGAGGGTCAGCACAGCAGAGCCTCCAGGTGGCGGGGTCCCCCTGCCCCTCCCGAGCCCTTTCTGCATCTTCATCCTGGCTCTCGTCTGCCTTCCCTCGTCCTCCCTGCCGACACCTGGAGCTGGCAGCCAGGGCTCCTCTGGTCCTGGTCCGGGCTCCAGGGCTTTCCTGACTTTCTAATTTCCCCTCCACACCACGGACCTCAGCTGCCTCCATCAGGGTCCTGGTAGGTGGTCCTGATAGGGTCCAGGGAATGCCAGCACCCCCTCAATCCATGCCACACCAACAAGAGGCACCAAAGGGGGAATCAAAAGATGAATCCAGAAACAGAGGAGGCTTCTGGGGCCGGCGGAGGGGCAGACGACCTGCTGGCTGTGCTGCGTGAGCCCCAGGCCCTGGTGAGGAGGGCACTGCAGTCTGGTCACCGTGGAAACAGGCGGGCTGCACGGTGGTGCAGCGCCACCCCCAGAATCCAGTGTGCCATCCCAGCTGTCTCTGGACAGCAGGTGACTTGAGAAGTCCCTCACCCGGTGTGGCTTTGTGTGGTCCTCACACGCCTCAGTGAGGACAGACAGATCTCCTCTCGCCAGGAGACCTGGTGAGCTGCGCTGAAGTCCAGCTTACAGATTTCACTTACTGAACACAGACAAGTGTAGCCTGTGTGTCCCTCCCCATGTGACATGGTTATGTGACGTGTGTGACCTGTGCCACTGTTTCTTTCCTGTCACTGCAATAGCTATTGAAGCACCATCATCTGATCACCAATGAACAGGTCCACAGTTCACAGGTCAGAAGCATGGCTGCCACTCTCCCCTCCCGTAGTTAAGTGGGCACCTCTCCAGTGCAGTGGAACAGCAGGCTTCCGTGGCTTGAAGCGCTGGTAAGGCTCAGACCAGGCCTCCTCAGCCTGGCAGCCTGTGGTGGTGTCCGCCCTGATGTGCTTAGTACCGGCTTGACGGTAGCCTATTGTAGTGACCAGAAGGAACAGCAGTGACTCGGTTGGACCAGATGTGCCTCCAAAGCTGTGTCAGGCATGTTTCCTAGAAACAAACTGCTCAGAATCCACTGCTTGTGTTCATAAACTTGGGTCCACAGAGCTGTGGCCACGAACTCATCCTGAGGATGGAGGGAAAACACCCAAAGGATCTTTTACTTTTCTTAGGAAAATCTCCAGACTGCCTGACCGTGCGTGTGTGGCGGGAATTGCACTCGGCAAGCTGGCCTGGAAATAAGGTGGACCCACAGCAGGTCGTACAACTCTGTGGGTTGGAAGCGCACATGTAACAGCAGTCACAGGTCTGTGGTCACTGGGGAGGCGCAGGACAGGCTCCGTGCCTCATCACCGTCATCTCTGCTCTCTGGGCTTGTGGTCTGGAAGTGGCTGGACAGGCCATCTCCAATGGCCATCCCAGGATGAAACTTCTGCAGTCCCCAGTGCCAATGCCTGGGCTGGTGCCCTGGGAGGTGACCACCCTTCACAGTCTGTTTTCTCTGGCACTTTGGGGATGACAGATTAAAAGGGCACAACTCCACAAGGGAAGAAAGTGGCATGAGCTTCCCTGGACCCTTTCCAAGGGGTCATGTTCCTTTACCTAGAGCAGGAGTGTGCTCTTCTCATCACAAGGCTGTTCTTTGGTAGAACACGAATTACTGTATCGAAACTAGTAGCTGACTCAAGAAATTCTCATGGCTAATATCCACTTTGTGGATGATCTGTACCACATTTTTAATCCCGAATGGCACAGGAAATTGTGGTCTATTTGCCAAAGCCCAGGTATGCATGTGACTCATTTCACGTTAGTTCAGCAAAAACCACTCCCCATGGAAATTGCCTGGATGCAGAAACCAGAGGTAGAGATCCAGAAGCTCCCAATGAATGGTCCTGAATCTTACCACGCCCAGGCACCGGCACATCCTCTTGCTGATGAGCAACTGCCCCTCCCTTAGTCTACTCAGAGAAGACCTGCCTTTTTCTGAATGTGCTTCAGAGCAGTTAGATAGTGGTGATGGAGAGGCTCTGCTGACCTGCAAGGACTCCTGGCCATGGACGACCCTGAGCCTTAGGAACTTGAAAAGCCACACCCCACAGCAGCAGTGTGCTCAGATGCACCTCCGGTGGCCTGACTTCAGGCTCCTTCTGCAGTGTGCTGGTTTCCCCCTCCTGCTCAGGGGTCGGGTGCACTGGGACAAGGCAGTGTGACCAGGCCAGCAGCCATGTGTGCCAGGCTTCTGGGGGGCAGGAGGCCACGCAGTGCTTCCTAACAACACAACTCTCACAAGAGATGTCCTGGCGGTTTCTCTGTCCCCACCTACCAGAGGTCTGCCAAGGCTCCGGATGCCCACGTCCCCACTTCACACAGGCACAAGCAGCAGAGGACCTATGGGGACCTGGTCAGGTGACTCCTCCTTTCCTGCTCGTTGTCACATGATTGCCAAGGCACAATGCGCCACCGTGCTGTGGAACCTCACGTGGGAGGCGGGCCACACTCTCCCTCTTCCCATGGGAAGTGCCCCAAACTCTCCCACTTCCCCACAGGAGGGCCCTGTCCCAGCTTATCCGGCTCCACCCTTCAGAGTGGCCGTGCGGCTGTGTGCGGAAGCTCATCCATTCATCTTTGAATTTTCTTGAGAGGAGGTGATGCGGCCTGAGTGGTGAGATTGACAGACACCTCATTATCAAAAGGTGAGCCGGACTCCTCAGCCCAGAGACGCTGTGGGAGGACAGGACACTTGAAGTAACTGAGGTGAGGATAGGAGAGCGGCCGTCCCATCCCGACTGCACTGGTAGAAGACAGACCTTCAAGTCTGGGCCACCGTCTGGTGACCAGTGTGGCTCTGCGAGGCTGTGGGGAGTGCCTGGGGCAGATAGGTTTCCTTGTCTGTTATCCACTGCCAACACCTGCTGCTTTTCAAAATCCTCCAAGACGGGAGGCCTAGTTTTCCAGGGGAACTCAGGGAGGTGATTAGGGAAACCGTAGGCCTCACCTGGCTGCGGTTCCTTCTTTGACTCAACTTCCAAATGCGTCCACCTRCATGTGTGCATTCGCAGTTTCAAACCAGGACTTAGGAACTCATCGTGTGGTCCAGGGGGCAGGACAGCCACCAGGGTCAGCGCGCAGAAGCTGCCAACTCTGTATTCCCCTGGGCGCTTCTCCAGTCAGAGCCGTGAGCACAAGAATATAAAGCTGGGGTTCCCCAAGTCGTTAGAACAGGCTTGACTTGGCTCTGAAGCTTGAACCGAGGCTGACAGCAGGCTTTGCATGAGGGTGGCACTGCCGCCATGTTTCCAATGGCGTCCCCTGGTCTGGTGTCCTTTCCTTCTGCTGCTCTTTGGGGACACATCATCTTGTAATAAGGGAGATGATGCGGAGAGTGGTCCGGAAGAGAGACGGCATCTGCTCCATTTGACCTGGTGCATTTGGCTCTCAGTGTTGGGATGCAGATCTTAGCTATTTGTTGACTCCAGGGGGTTAGTCTCTATTGAGCTCCAAATCTTTTTTCACTAACATACAATCCATGAGCCAAGTACCAGAGTTCAGTCTCTCAGCTTGAGTCACCTGGCATTTTCTACTGGTCAACATGCCTCATCCCCCCCAAACCATTACTAATGTTAAAAATTCTTCTCACTCTGGTGTTTTAGTCATGGAAACAAAGAAGAGACGTGGCAATGGGAGACAGTGGCCAAATCAACCCGAGGGGGTGCACTCGAGAGCCACGTGTTATCTGTTCTGCCACCCACACAACATCATTTACGTGGAAAGGCGAATAGAGATACAAATCCCAAATGTTCTTTGAGTGTTAACAGAGTGTGATTCTCAGTAGAGGGGTTGGACGCATGTTGGATGTGGCCTCTTTGGGACACTCTCCCTCAACACGTTTTCAGGTTGAACACCACACCCATCTTCCCTCATTCCTTCCAGCTGCCCCAGGGTTCCTGTGGCTGTGGTGGGAGACCTGGCAGCACTGTCCGCAGTGCGAGGGCGAGTGCCAGCCACAGGGCACACAGTGCCCAGCCCCTCCCAGGCCCTTCCCTCTGCACAGGCCTGTGGGGAGTGGGGTGCAGTCCTGCGGGTCTCCCCTCACACTTGTGCTGTGGGTTCCTGTGGCTTCACTCTGTGGCCCGTAAGTCCCTGGAAGGAATTGGACTCAGAATCGCTCTTAGTGCAGCCGCATCATGGGTGTGCCTGATGCGAGCTCCCCGTGGGGGGGCCTGCGGGGTCCTCAGCACAGCAGGCTCCCCTCCCCGCCGCCTGAGTGGGACTGCAGAAATAGACCATTTAAAAGCAATTGCTGAGAACATCTGTTTAAGAGTTGGCAGAACAAGAGTTCATGAGCTCTTGAGAAGTGTGGCGAGAAGGTGGATACAGTCAGTACTCGGTTGCCGGGGTGCGCATAAATAAACCTGTGCAGCAACAGGCCCATCTTGAACCTCGGAAGTGGGAATGTCTGTTTTACGCTGTGCTTATCGTGTGTGTTGGATGGTCTCAGACTGACTCAGGGGACTAGCAGCCCACGGGGGATGCTCCAAGGGCCTCGCTCCACCTGGCCCCCTCATTCCCTCCTGTGGACACGTGACCAGAAGCAGCCAGGGCCTGCTCTGGGCCACTCCAGGGCCTGCCTGGCCATGCTGTGTCCTGCGGTTGCCCCTGAACTCCCAGTTCTAGCCACCTCTCTTTTCTTTCCCTTTGTCTTCTCTATTTCCTTTGCAGAAGACCGTCCGATGAGCTGCCACGGCACACGCCTGCTGCAGGATGCGGAGAAGGACGACAACAATAACGAGGAGTACGACAACTACGACGAGCTGGTGGCCAAATCGCTGCTGAACCTGGGCAAGATCGCCGAGGACGCGGCCCACCGCGCGCGGACCGAGTCCGAGATGAACAGCAGCACCTCCCACAGCCTGGAGGACGAGGGCGGCCAGAGCGAGAGCCTGAGTCGCAAGGGCGAGCTCAGCCTGGACCTGGACAGCGACGTGGTCAGGGAGACCGTGGACTCCCTGAAGCTGCTGGCGCAGGGCCACGGCGTGGTGCTCTCGGATGGCATCGGCGACCGCGGCCACGCGGAGGGGATGGCGCCGCAGGACAGCAGGAGCGTGAACTACGTGGTGCTGGGGAAGCCCGTGAGTAACGGGCTGGGCGAGAGGCTAGGCGAGGAGAGCGAGGAGGAGGTGTGCCTGAGCAGCCTCGAGTGCCTGCGCAACCAGTGCTTCGACCTGGCCCGCAAGCTCAGCGAGACCGACCCCCAGGACCGGGGCCCCCCGCCCAGCGCCAGCGCCCGGCAGCACGGCCGGCCAGAGGACGACTTCCCGGGCAGGACGCCTGACCGGAGCTACTCGGACATGATGAACCTCATGCGGCTGGAGGAGCAGCTCAGCCCCAGGCCCAGAACGTTCTCTAGCTGCGCCAAGGAGGACGGGTGTCCGGAGAGGGACGACGACACCACCTCCATCAAYTCGGACAGGTCCGAGGAGGTGTTCGACATGACCAAGGGCAACCTGACGCTCCTCGAGAAGGCCATCGCCCTGGAAACGGAGCGGGCCAAGGCCATGAGGGAGAAGATGGCCATGGACGCCGGGAGGAGGGACACTCTGAGGTCGTACGAGGACCAGTCTCCGAGACAGCTTCCCGGGGAGGACAGGAAGCCCAGGTCCAGTGACAGCCATGTCAAAAAGCCATACTATGGTAAAGGTAATATTTCTACCTAACGTAAGTTGCCTCATGGAAACATGAGCTGAACAAAAGATGTTGGTGATGGTCCTCAATGACAGTCTGATTCTCACTAAGTCCCGTCTCTGAGGCCCCTTCCAGAGTTGGTGCCAGAATGATATTTTGTGATGATGTTTCTGAAGAGCTAATGGAATATCTGTCTGGGAAATGCATAAAGCTCAGTGTCCCGTTACTAGAGCAGATGAGTACCGAGGCATTCCTGGAGAGGCCAGGGCTGGTGCGTAAACACACCCCAGGTAGCAGGCGCTGGGAGCCCGTGCCGCTGCAGAGGAACCAGGACCTGGGAAGGGCCAGGGACTGAGTGCTGGTTAGTCCATCAGAACCCAGCACATTTCACAAATGGGACTGGGGAGGTGGCCCTACAGTAYGTAAGTTGCCATCCGATGACACCCATTGGAGACACACCCCCAGAGCAGCACCCCGACAAACTGAGCAGCAGCAGGATGACCCAGGACACAGGAGAAGGGCCAGGGCTGCACATGAGCTCCCTGGGAGAGACTGGGGACAGAAGGTGCTGGCTGTGTCAGCCCGGGTGGCCTCGGCCGAGATCAACAGCACATTCTTTAGGGCACCCCCCCACACACTGATTCCATTTCACTAAGGAAGCAATTGCGGTGTTTTCTCAAATATAATTTATTATAAAACGCTCAAGACTATCCAGTATGATAGTTTTAGCTCAATTTCTCCTCATGAAAAATGCAGGCGCTTATGGCATATATCTATATATTTAACTATATATACCTACTTCCCATATATATAGTAAATATATACATACTCGACCTGAATGAATACTCGTGTTTGTAGAAGCAAGTGTCCACCTTGAGGCAGGTTATGACACAGCCTCACGCAGGGGTCTGGTGTTGACTATTGGCTCATTTTCAAGTTTCTTTTAGAACAAAGCAAGAATCAATTTCCAGAATGAAATTGGTAACTCCTTAAAGCCTACTATATTAGCACCAAAAATGTATCTGTTCTGTTGGTTTTTCACTTTATGCTGTGCATTACAAATTCTGAGTTTCTCACTGTTGATCTGATAATGAAGTTTAAGAATGTAGTTTGAAAATCAGTTGCTGTGTAAACTTCAATCAGAAAAACTGCATTTTTTCTGCTGTGACATCGGTGTGTACTCTCCTCTCAATGTGTGCGTATAATTTCTGTGGCGAGTGGGGCACTGCTGGAAGCAAATCCAAATTTGAGATGAGCCTTAGCCAGATCTGTGCACTCCTGGTTGGCAGGTGGTGGGCCAACAGCCCTTCCAGCTGCCGAAGCACAACGCTGGGCCACAAGGTCGGGGGGTGGCCAAGGGGCATGACCTTCCAAAGGAACCAAGCCTGCATGTGTTAGGACAGGGCTGTCACTGTGGACAAGATGGGCCAGACCATCTCTTAGGATTGTGCATTGAGTCTCTGAGAAGCTGAGGAGAACCCACCCTCCAGCGAGGAGTGCCTCTGCTCCTGGGACCGCCCTGTGGCCCACGCAGACTGGGCTGTGCTTTCGTCCTGAGTGGGGGCTTTCGGGATGAGCGCTGACTCTGGGTAGCACAGTGGTCCTCTGCAGCCACGTGGCCATGGAGGATGTGTCTCAGAGTCTGGGCTGCCGTGGCTGCTGTGTCTGTGGCCTCCAAACTCGGCTGCTTTATGCCCATTTTGAGTCATTTAGTTTTGCTGTTGTTTTGCTTTGCTTTTTGAAAGAAATGAAATATAAAGCACTTGCTTCCCCTGTGTTCATGGGGGCGGCTGGGAATGGAGGGTGAAAACGGAGAAGGACTGGGGCTTGRGCTCTCCTATAAGGTGGGAGGCATCATTTTCTCCCTCTCCCAGTTCTCCCAATCTGCCCCTGTCGAGTCATTTCCATTTTCTGTATTGTTCCATGTAAACATTCAGAGCTAAATAAGCAAAGCCCATTAAGGCCAACCAAGGAGAACAAAGGGATCAAGGCTCTCTTTAAAAGAAAAAATGTCATGGGATCAGATCTCACCAACACATTGATGACAGTTGTGGCAACTGCCTAGCAGGTCTTCCATCTGTCTTCAGGGGCTGTCACTGCAGTAAAGATGGGAGGATACTGTATCAATTCTCATTGTCCACAGTCCTCAAACTGATTTAATGTGTCAGTTTCCAAGTCTTGAGCTAATACAAAAGAAGCAAACGATGACCCCCTCTGTCCTCTGCCCATCACCTGCTCTACCCCTGCAAGCTAAGTGCAGTCACAATTTGTTTCCTCTTGTTTGTTGCAGGGTTTCTGGTTGATTTTTGGTCTCTCTGCTTGCTCAGTTGTCTTGTGTTGCCTTCCATGTTTGCTTTTAAGATGAATTGCAATTGTACAAAGTAAGAAATCCAGGGGAGGTGATGGCAAAGGCAGGTAGCACATCTCACCTCAACTGGACCCCATGCATCGAGAGGAGATTATACGCTTGTTGTCTTCCAAAATGCGGATAATTTTGACATACCTTGTTTATATAAAAACCTACACTTAATTTCAAAATGCTTTTCAAATCTTGAAATAATCAATTTGTGAGAAGTCTTAAGTGTCCTATGAAATAGACACTTGGTGATTAGTAATAGCCATCGAATTTTTATCTTCTGCAAGTCATCTGTATCTAGTTATTAATCTTTTATCTCTAGTTTATGATTTTAATCAATTATTTTCTCTGAAACTCTTACTAGGCACTTGCTATTTTATACTTAGATTGACTAAATTATACCAATATTCTTGCGGAATTATTCCAAGGTAGTAAAATTGCCAGGCTCTCAGTCTGCAGGTGTAAGAGAGGCCTTGACCAGGTCATGAGAAGCTGGACCACGCCACAGCACACACCATTGGGTGGGTTTCCAAGCTGCCTGCACAATGGTGGGACAGATCAAGGGGAGGGTCTCCCTTGGCACCTCCCTGGCTCAGGAGGCCCCAGCACCTGAGAGGCCCGCTAGGAGACGAGCACTCTAGCCGACCAAGAAAGGGAGTCAACACGGGGACATTATTGGTTCTGTGACTCCTCTTCTACTTCAGTTCACATAAATAGCTTAAAAAGAAAGTTCAGAAGCATTCAATGTTTTAAAACAAAAGTTTTTTTCTTGATAGCAGTGAATTCTTAACTAAAAGTAAAACAATTATGATTGGCCTGATTAATGAGATACCCATATAATAGAATTAAACCCCTGAAGAAAATTTAACTAGAGCCTTCTCTGGACCAAATCATAAGAGCCACATCTATTGATACTGATCTGTGCAACTGGTTTTCAAAATTGGACTAAAAACTAGTGTATCACTGGTTAGACTTACTGTTTGGTCTAAGTGTGGCCTCTGAAACACTCTGAAGTTATTATGCTGCAAAGTTCTGTGCTGTGGTCAGTTCTGGGTGTAGAAAAAATTAAATTAGCAATGTCATTACATCTCTGGCATCTGCATCTGATTCTGGACCAGACTTCTGCTCTAGCTGGCCCTTGACTGCACTGCAGAGAAGCCCACAGGGCTCTAGAGAAGCATCACCTCTTGGTTTTGTGTATGCATGCACGGCATCACACGAGCCTCCTCTGGTTCCAAGCACACACGGAGAAATCAGAACAAAGGGTTGCTCCAGCGGCTTCTGAAGCATTTTGATTGCCCATCACCTCTGCAGGTGGGATCGCCACCGTTTGGTCATCTGCTTACAGTGCCTTCTGAGAGTTCAGTTTATTTTCCAAAACATGCTGAATTGCTATGCTAAGAAACAGAGTGATTAGCCTCAAGAGCAAAGTCCAGAGCAGCCGCGTTTTGCTGCCTGTGTGTGCCACCAGAGCTCCCAACAGGAAGAAATTCAGCTGAAGAGCTGGGGACTGAGTCACACTCTTGGCTGAATTTCACAGAGAGACTGCCAAATGAAAACGGTGTGGAGTCTTGTTCTCTAAGAAGGCCACTGTCTCATCACTGTTTACGTTGATTTATTTGAGCAACACAGCTTATCATGTAACACACGGGAAACCAATCAATCAAGAGTTAAGGTTAGGGATGGGGAAGGGGTGGGTTTTTTCTTTCTTTCTTTCTTTCTTTAGGACAAAAAACTAAAATACTATCTGATTCATTATCATGTTGCATAAGGTTGAACAATCACCTAAAACAAAAGCCTACCCCAGCCAAAGCATGGTGTTTGCAGCCTGTGCCCTGACACCTGCTGGCCTCTGATTTAGCAAAGGTCTCTTGGGATTGTTGAATGATCACATTTGTCTTCGGTTGGTGAACGTTCATTCTTTTGGAACCTGTTGTCGCTTTTAGATCCCTCAAGAACAGAAAAGAAAGAGAGCAAGTGTCCAACCCCCGGGTGTGATGGAACCGGCCATGTAACTGGGCTTTACCCGCATCACCGCAGTCTGTCTGGATGCCCGCACAAAGATAGGGTCCCTCCAGAAAGTAAGTGCACAGCTCACCGCTGCCCTTGGAGTGCTAGCACACGGCTCTGTCTCTGCCATCCCTCTGACCTGACATCATTTCCATTCTACGGCTCAGTGTGGCCACAGCTCACCAGGCTCCCGCTGACCCTGACGGGCAGCCCCAGGAGGAGTGGGGGACAGGGAGCCTGCTCCCCCAACCCCCAGGCTTCCTGGGTGCCAGCTCTTGCTAGACCAGCCCCGGAGGAGCCCTCTACAGCCCCCTTTCTGGAACCAGGTTTGGTCCCAATTCAGTCCTCCTTGGAGACCCCAGGCAAGTTGCCTCTGCGTCTCACAGTTAGAGAACCCAGATAGTGTCTGAGATACCCATCCACAGCGCTGGCCTGTTCTGCCTCCCCAAGAGAAGGGGCCTGGAGACTCCTCCTGCCCTGGACATGGATACATCATCCCATCATCATTTAGACGAGAGGTTGTGCCTCATTTTACTCGTCAGATGTACCAGCATTTCCACACTAGAAGACCTTAAATAAGGAGGTTTAAATTGGGTGGGTTTTGATCTTTCGCAGTTCTTAATAGTTAGGTTCTGATAATATGGACTCAACCTGTGAAAAGCTATGTTTCATTTAGAACTGAAACGGTATACACCTCCTTATTGTGTATCTTTCATCCATTAAATATGCCAGCTATATAAAGCCAATAGAACTAACAGTTTAGGAAACAGGCACATTTTCTGAAAAGAGTAAGTTTAAGATCCTGACTCTAAGTCTCAGTCATATGGAGGGTTCTCCTCTTACCTGAGACAGTTTCTGGCAGGAAAACTGTGATGGTTGAGACATGGCAGGATGACCAGTCAATGATCTGGAGGAATTCTGAGACCAGTCCAACTAAAATGGGTGACCTTGTGGTCCCTGAGTGGCGAGCCTGCTGGAGTGGCAGGGGACACACATGCCTGAGGTTCCAGGTGTTCAAATGGCTCCTGAGAAGTCAGCTTAGCTTGCTGCAACCGTGTCCAGGTTAAAGAGAGTCCTGGAACAGCCAATTCGGTGTCTGGCTACAATCCCGTGTGTTACATGAGCAGGGAGTCGGCATGGTCTACAACAGCGGCTTCCACGCGCTGAGCGCACTGGGGGCGGGGGCGGGCTCACACCCACAAACACTGATTCATTCAAGCCATGGACCCTGCAGGTAGTGTTGGCCCTGGTTTCCAACGAAGAAAATGAGAATCAGGGTGTCCGTCATGCTTCTCTGTCCGGGGACTAGCAGTGGTTGGCAAACTGAGGGAGTGCCATGTCTCCACAGTCAACCTGAGCAGACAGACGCTAACTGGCCTACATGCAGGACTAAGTGAGGCCATAGATCCTGTCCGGCCCACACCCTCTGCCTCCCAAACCGGGCTCTGTGGTCCCGACAGGCAAGCTGCATGTGCTGTCCTCTGCTTTCCTCATCCACAAACAGGTGCCAGGACCCAGCTCTGGGGTTTCAAGCAGAAAGCTGCTTCCTGCCGTCTCCCCTTAGGCCTCTGGCTTCGCTTCAGGGCAGGCCAGCTCCTCCTCCTCAGCCCACGTCTCCCAGAAACCTCCAAATAGGGAGAGCAGGGATGTGGGCGTGTCCTGCCAAGCTGCAGGTTGCATTCCTGTCTCCACCTGTGTCAGAGAAGTGGGGTGCCTCAGCAGGAGGAGGGGCCTGGGGAGGTGTCCCCTGAGCAGGAGGAAGTGGGGGATGGGGAGGTGTCCCCTGAGCAGGAGGAGGAGGAGGAGGGGCCTGGGGAGGTGTCCCCTGAGCAGGAGGAAGTGGGGGATGGAGTGATGTCACCTGATCAGGAGAAACTAGAGGCACCCAGGGTATTACCTTACCAGGAAGAAGTGGGGGCTAGGGCAATGCCACCATCCAGGAGGAAGTGGGGGCACATGGGGTGTCATCTTAGCAGGAGGAGGCTGACCCTGTCCAGGAACGTTCTCCAGCTCATGCACAGAAAGCCTGGCTGTGGATTTGCTTGTGGACGGGTCTTTAAGAAGCCAGGAATGAGTGAGCCTGAGGAAGGGCAGGTCTGCGTGAGTCTTTGCCGGGCCTCTCCTGCTGGACTGGCTTCCCTTACTCCCGCACAGCCCAGTTCAGCATAGTTCTGCTCACCCTGGGAGGACCACAGAGACTGTGCCACGGGAGGAGAAGAGGTTCTGAGTCCTGGGAGCTCCCAGCCTGGCAGAGACATGGGCTTGGCCCAGACAGTGCTTCCCATGGCTGCCCGATGCCCACCAGCAGCCACAGTGGGCACTGTGGGGACTGGGCATCTCCAGGCCTGGACTGGGACCCCGGGTGATGCTCCAGGGTTGCATGGGCAGAGAAGAAGGCCTTGGGGTCACACGTGACCAGGGCATGGAGGAGACAGTGGCAGTGGGAAGAGTGTGGGCAGGGACAGGCTGCTGGGAGCAAGGCCACTGAGGGCAAAGGAAGATGGGGAAGGGTGCCTGGAGGAGGTGAACAGAGACAGGAGGGGAGAGCAGGTCACACTGAAGAGCAGGTCACTTGGAAGGTACCCATGGCCCGAGGGCAGGCTCAAAGGGACAACAGGACAGAGCTGGAGGACACCCTTCCTCCAGCAGCAGTGGTGCGAAGGGAGAATGTGCTACTCAGGGAGAGGACGTGGGGTGAGCGGGGGAGCCAGCAGGGGTGGTCCCAGCAGGGGATCTGTGGCCTCTCTCCCTGGCCAGGTGAAGCAGAGGGAGGGCAGCTGGTGGAAGGGAGGTCCGAGGGATCAAAACCAGGAAAGCTGGCTCCTCTGAAGAGCCCCGTATGTGGAGGGATGCCGAGGCCCAGGAAGCCCAGGAGGCAGGCCTGCCGAGGTTGCTGGCTGCTGATCGGARCCTCCTGTTGAGACCTCAGTGTTAGACGGGAGCAGAGCAGGGAAGACCCTTGTTCAGGTGGATTCCAAGGCTGCCCATGAACAAAGAGAGCCCCCAGATCTCGATACAGTGCAGACGTGCAAGGGGCCTGCACCTCCGCTCAACAGGAGACTGACCTGGTCAGGCCTGGGGGCGGGCACCACCCCCAGCAAGGTTGGGCGTCAGGTGGGGGAGAGGCATGTGTTAGTGCAAAAGGGAAGTGGCATCAGGGAGCTATGATGACTGGTGACAGGGGCTGTCTGAGTCCTGGAGGGAAGGGCAGGGGCAGGAAGTCTGCAGCCTGAGGAGCTGACTGAACAGTAAGGAACCCCTGAGAGGAGGCCTGTGTCTAGATCTCCCCACAAAGAAACCCGTGACCCCAGGCCAGTTCCCACCACCAAATCAACTGGAGGTGGCTTCGCTGTTCTGGTGTCGCACATTGAGCCTGGGCCACAGCTCTCACACTGAGGCCAGTGGACTCCGTTTAAGAACGTGGCCAGTGGTCAGCACACTGGGGTCAATGTCTATAGTAGCCACATCCCAGCCGTGGGCTTCAGGGTCCAGGGACCTGCAGAGGTCAGGACAAAGCAGCTCTTACTAGAGGGGAAGGAAGTCACAGAAAACACAGTGATCCCACGAGTGAGTGGACCCAGCAGCCCTGGCACAGCCACCTACCCGGCACGCCGTGCTGGCCGGAAGAGCTGCCCTAGAGCAGTCCAGAGTTGGGCGGAGGGCCCCTCGGAGGAGCCAGGTGTGGCTCTGAGCCGGTGTGGCCCCCAGCTCTTGAACCCCAAGAGCTCCCCAGATGCAGAGTAGCCGAGTGGACCCTGAGGGCTGGAGAAGAGGGACATAGGCAAGGCAGGGCGGGGCCCTGCTGGTCAGTCCACACAGCTCTGCCGCTCACGGCAGCCTCACCCCAGGCGCTGTCTCTCTGCCCCTCTCACTCTGATGCTGCAGCTTATCCTGCTTAGACAATAGGTCACTGCTTATTTCCTAAAGGGAGAGACTTTGATTCCATCCTTAAGACTGCAGCCCAGGGTTCTGCTCAGCTAGCCACTGCCCTCAGCACTGTCTCCAAGCCCAGGTGTGCTGTTGACACGCCAGGTCTACATGCTGTGACACCGCTACCTGGCGTCCAGCGCTCACGTGGGGCTTCCCCGGCCCCTGGAGCTGCTCAGGGTGGCGCTCTCTGCCCCTGGCCAGCGCGCTCTGCTTCGCATGCCAATCAGTGCAGTGCAGACGACCTTCTCTCTCCTGACCTGTGTTTTCCTGATCATGCTCATCACGGACGCTCTTAGGCCTGTGTGTCTAGACTAACCCAGCCTCTGTACAACGATTGCATGTCCTTGAATTCTGACATTTCCCTGTTTTAATGATGGGCTGTTTTCTTTGCCTCTCCTTGTCAAGTTCTTGCCATGCATGAAAATGTTCTCAAGTGTCCCACTCCAGGCTGCACAGGGCGAGGGCATGTGAATAGCAACAGGAACTCCCACAGAAGGTAAGCCACACTGCTGGACCCCCACCCTGGGAGCACTCGCCCCACCAGCCCCTCATGTCCTCACAGTTTGCTTCTAAAGGGCACAGAGTGGAGTCCACAGAGCACGAGGGCCGAGGCTTGGCCGCCCTGCAGGGAGACGGATTTTTTAGTTGTCTACCCACCTTGTCATAATGGGTAACAGCCCTTCAGGGCACCCTGCGGAGTGTGAGGGACCCTTATGGTGACTAGAGGAGACCCAGGGTCCATTATCTCCAGGTATGTGCGGGCTATCCGCTGCTCACCACACAGGAACATGGACTGGAATCTGGTGACACTGTGCCATGTGACACTCACCCTGGTTGCCCTTGACACTCTGCCGAGACCCCAGGTCAGCATGGACGTGGCCAAAGTCTGTGCAGATGTCCAGTGCTGCTCAGGGCAGGGGAAGGGGTGCTCCGTAGGTAGCTCTTGCAGGACGATTGCTCTGTGGACACGTCTTCAGCGTGCAGCAAACGCCAGCTTCCTCCTGTTCTCTTGAGCTTGGTGATTTGCCATCCTCACAATACTCAGCTCATACCAGATAGCCTCGTGTCCTCAGTGCAGAAAAGCGACTGCTGAGCACAGTTTCTGGCTGTGGGGTGAGCTTCAAGCTCACGTAGAACTGTCTTTGGAGAGGAAGCAGTAAGCCTCACCCCAACCCTTCCTGTGTGGCTGGCAAACGTATTCACTTCTGTTAAATTCACAATGAACGAAGCACCGCCCTGTGCCCATCAGGGGTGTTCTGGCTTCACGTGCAGGAGGACATGGCGCAGGGTGAGCTGGCGCTGGGTGCTGTGCCAGGCTGTGCTCATGGGGCCGTTCCTCAGCCACCCTCAGTGCCTCTGTGTCAGACAGCACAGGTGCCCACACCCATGGACACATGTACTCTCTGGAGGAAGTGGTTCAAACAGGAAAGCCCGCTTCTTTTCCTTCCAGGTTGACCAGCCTGAGCAGTTTAGTCCAAAAAATGTTTTTGTGCAGTCCTGGAGATTACTCCGCTTCCTTCCCTCTCATTTTACCCTCTTTGGAGAACATGATAGTGCAAAGGTCAGACTGACTGGCGAAAGCCCAGGTGATATGTCTGCAGAACAGGCTAGGTGCTCCTTCATCTGGTGCCTGCCCACCCTTGCCATTCCTGGGCTGCTCAGGGCTGCACCCTCCCGAGCCGTCGAGGCTCCTGTCCAGAAGGAGTGTGCGCCCCCAGTGAAACCATGTCTGAATCTCGCCTCGCTCCTGTTCTCCTGAATGCGCCTGACGAGGCTGCTCTCTCCAGAAGGGGGGTGCAGGGTGCTGCCATCAGCACCGCAGCATGCACACCCAGAGGAAATCACACAGGCCAAAATGTGGCACCACTAACTCACCCCTTCAGGACTCCCAGGGGCTTGGGAGGCTGCTGGGTTCTGCCCCGTCGGGTCTCAGTGCTCCACCCAGGGAGAGGAGATGGTGGTTGGGCTGGGTGCTGTGAAGCCCTTGGTGGCCAGACATTAACCCCCTTTTTGCACTTGCAGCCTCTCTGGATGCCCTATTGCTGCAGCAGAGAAACTGGCAAAGGCCCAAGAAAAACACCAGAGCTGCGATGTGTCCAAGTCCAACCAGGCCTCGGACCGAGTCCTCAGGTACCCAAACAGGAGTGTGTCATCCATGAGGTCCATCTACCATCACCCAGTGCACCTGAGCACCGACACTCCACAGGTGGATCGCTCCCTGAGTGGCAGGATGCAGGGTGGCTGTGCTGGGCTGAGTGGGAGCCGAGAGCAGCTCCGTCCCTGCCTCGGTGGCCCAGCGTGATCCGAGGGAGAGGATGGGGCGCAGCACTGTTGGTCTTCTTTCTGGCTCTGACATCTCATAACTCTATGAATGCTAAGTGCCAGGGGAGATTTGAAAATTAAGAAGATGCCCAAAGTCACCTTAATTTGGAGCCAGGGCATGACACCAGCCTACAGGGCGGTGTTGCTGCTGGAAATGTGAGGGTTATGGACACTTCCTCGACCAAGACAGGGCTCACGTTTGGAAAGCCGTCCAGCAGTCATTGCCTTTGACCCTCAGGCACCCCAGTGTAGGTGGGTGTGGGTGCTATGACTGCCAGTTGGCAAGCCAGAAAACCGAGGGCAGACAGTCTGGGGACTTAGCTGACATCGTGAAATCACTGCATGTGAAGCCCGGGAGGTTGGGGGAGTGTCCCGTAGAGCCTCTGCTGCTGTTCCAGGTTTGGGAAGGCCGGGACCCGTGGGAGGCAGGGGAGGGATCCGCATCCTAAGCTCTATGTCCATCTCTCACTCCTGCATCTGCCTCCAGACCCTGTCCACATGAAAGCCACCACCGCTGGGCATTCCCATGCTCTGAGTGTCATACCAGATCCACAGCCCTCCCTCTGCACACTGTCATGACTGCCATCTCAGGGCCATGCGCATCCTGCTGGGTAGACGCCCCCAGTCTAGCAGCCAGGTCCACCCCAGGCACTCGGCTCATGTCCAACTTTACTATTAATGACCAACATTTTTCCATAGATACAGCATTTTGCTCCTGCTAAATTATTCTTTGGGATAAATCACATGGAGAAAATCACCATGCAAGGGAGGTGAATATCTTTTTTGGTTCTTGTGTATTATTTCACAGTTTCTTACATTAATTTACCACAGTAATTAAATTATCTCTCTTCTCCAACAGAAAAGTTTAAATATTTACAGATTAGGAATATTTAATTAAGTAAAAAAAAAAACAGACATAAAAAGAATCCATGATCCCAACACTCAAAAAGAGACTTTCAATAAATTTTTATTTTTTATTCCTGGGGGCTAACCATCTACAGACACAGTGTACCTGTCTCACATATCTGTGTCCCCAGAACCCTCAGCTTAAGGACACAAGACTGTCTGACAGACAATGGCAGCTCTGAACCCACAATTAGCCCAAGAAATGCCCCCCAACAAAAGCTCCTGGCCACCTCAGGAAGGGATGGTCGATAACCCAGAAAAGGTTGAAAAATGATGAAGAGAAACTTGTAGCTGAAAGAATTTTCAGAATTTTAATTTTCTTTTGCCCACTGTGACCAGATCTGTGAAAGCTAGGGAGTCCTGTGCATGGCCCCTTCCTGATGTCACCAGGTGGCTGTGCTGTCCACGCAGATGTGGCTCTACTTCCAATAGCGGGGTTGGTTCAGCCTCAGTGGAAACCCACAGATGGCTTGAGACAGATGAGACACAAACAATTGCAAATGTCAACTCACTTGGGCATGGTCTTCCACCTAGGCCAGCCGAAAGCAGCCGTGGCCTGTGGTTTAGGTGGCCTTGTGTCTCAGTACCCCTTTGGGTTGGCTCGGGGACAGCTATGGCGATGCCAACTAACGAAGGCCGGGGACAAATAACTGTGCCCAGATGAACAGCTTCCTCATGCCTCTGACTGGTGTGACAAGCAGGTGGGACAGGCCCCTGGGCAGCAAGGGAAGACCCCACACCAGGAGCCACCAAGGGCCATGCAGACTGAGTGCAGCAGCCCGGACTCCTCTCCCTGGGCAGGCTACTGGCCCTGCCTCTGGAGTCTTGCATGCTCCCACAGGCTCCCACAGCAACGGGCTGACCTAGGGCCAGGTGTGAGCACTTGCAGGAGAGGCTTCGGTCCCAGCAGCCCTGTACACCAGTGTCTCCAGGTAGAAGTGCTCATTCAATGGAGCAAGGAAAGAAGGGAAGAAAAAATATTAAACCTACAATCATGTAGGTGAGGGTTAGAATAAAAAAGTGTTTCAGTGCCTGGACCCACAAGAACCTGAGACTTCAGAGAGCTCCTGGAAAAAAGTGGGACTGTTCAGTCCATCCCTGCACCCCAGCTCTCGGCTCCCCGGGCTCCCAGCCCTCCCCAACCTCTGCAGTGGCCCTCGCCTGTGACAGGTGAAGGAGCAGAGAGCCAGGCCCAACAAGCCCCCAGTCCATCCCGGGAGCACGTTCCCGAGTGCTCCCTCCCCACAGCCAAGGTCCTAGGCCGAACTCACCTGAAGGCAGCGTCTCCCTCAAACACCGCTTTCTCCATCACAGCTCAGCTGATCCCGTAGCCAGAAGGGCCTCTCTTCTCCCAAACCCCACAAAAGCACTCCAAACCCCCAAAGCCCTGCTCCAGGGCCTTATCCATAGAGGCAGTCCCAGTGTTACCTGGCAAAACGCCCCAGAGTAGATGACCCATCACTGGTACATAATTTTCTTGCCTCAATCAGTATAAATTAGATAAATCAAGATAAATAAGTTGGTAATTTGGTAAATAAATTGGGTATTTTACCATATTATGACATTAAAAGTGACATAGGTGCTATTTAGCAACATAGAAATTGGCTTGCTTTCCTTTTTTAAAAATCCAGCTATCAAAACTTTGTAATTGCTCTAAAAAATAATATAAATTCATGAAATGACCAGAGAAGAAATAGATTTGTACATGAAAGCATATTGAGTCAGAATTTATGATAACAAAAAATTTTCTAAAAATTGGAAAATAGTTAATAGTGTGTTATTGATTGATTTCAATATGCACTTAAGAACTCTTTTCAAAGCCTAAAAAAGTAAAAGTAAATTCCATGTAAGATAGAGTGTGAATTATGTATAAATTTTRTGTCTTAACTGTTAGATAACTACTAAATGCATCAACTCAACCAAAAAGACACCAAAATTGTTACAGTTTTTCATCTCTCAAAGAATCATAGGTGATTTTTAAATAGTTCTTGTATTTTCTAAACATTTTTTCAATGAATCACGTGGCACTTTCACAATCATGAAAAGCAAAACAATAATTTGGAAGTTTCTACCCCAATGGCCAGTCGAGACCATGTGCATATTCACACACACAAGCTTCCGGAAGGGGGCGGGCTGCAGAAGAGAAGTCCAGCCATGCCAGCAGCCCCCGGGGAGTCGGCTTGGGGAGGAGAGCAGATCCACCCTCAGGTCACCCCAGGCAGCCAGCCGGGGTCCCCCACTGCGACACCAGCCCACACCCTCAGAGCTCCGTGCCAGGGCCAGAACCCAGCCTTTCAGACCCAGCACCCTGTGCTGGTCTCTCTCAGGGCCGATGCATATATTCCCCCATCTTCTTTATTCCTACTGAAGTACCAGCCTTTCTTGGGTCTTTATTTTTAAAAATGTTTTCACAAAATTCAGAAACAGAAAGAATCATCAGGAAAGTCCCTGTCCTTGGAATTCACTTTTTAACAAGAGTTACAGGGCACAAAAACCATGCTTATGTGGGAATGCATCCAAACATTTTATAAATATTCTGCCTGAGGGAAAAGGGCTGGCTGGACTGTAGAAGTCCACGTTTAAGTGTATGATCTTCTGCCCTCCACCAAAGCAGAAGTTGGGGAGAGGGCAGAAGGAGCCCTTGCACTTCACCACCAGGCAAAGAAGACATAGTCAAAGCCCAAGGCTTCCACCTCTGAGACGGACGCCTGGCAACAGACACACACAGAGCATGGGCAGAGGACCCATGAGTAGACAGACAGTCACCAAACGTTCTCCATTTAAATACTTTATCCCAAAGTCTAAAAGAAACGTCTACCGGCTGAAGTGCTGAAAGAGTATACAGACAGTTGACAAAATGTCTGATCCCATTCAGTTTTATCGTCCAGCTTGACAAATCTAGTTTTGTCCCGGTCTGTGTCTCTAAGAGTATTTCTTTATTTCCTCCTGTTTTTAAGGGAAGTTTTCAGTGTCTCACGGTTGTGTAGCTCTACTCCTCTGTGACCACTGCCAAGACCAGACCTGGGTGTCCTATCCTGCCTCATCCTCATACCTCACATCTCCATTGCACCCCGGTCCTCTGCTGAGAGTACACAGGACATTTAGGGATCTGATCTCTTGTTCTGTCTTCTGCGTGGACTTTTAGGCAGGTGGCTTCTTTGGGGCTGTGTGATCAAAGCACACTTTGCCCTTGCATGGGAAAAGGAACCTGTGATCTCGGTGCAAGGCCCCCACTCCCCAACACCTGTAGGAAACGCGATGTGGCTACCCACGTGCACGGCCGCGAGAAAGCAAGCTCTTGTCTGTTGTCTTGTTTACTTCCAGGCCAATGTGCTTTGTAAAGCAGCTCGAGATTCCTCAGTATGGCTACAGAAACAATGTCCCCACAACCACGCCGCGCTCCAACCTGGCCAAGGAGCTCGAGAAATATTCCAAGACTTCGTTTGAGTACAACAGTTACGACAACCATACTTATGGCAAGAGAGCCATAGCTCCCAAGGTGCAAACCAGGGACATATCCCCCAAAGGATATGACGATGGTAGGAGGTGCACATCTTATACATGAGAGACACGTTGCCATGCTGATGTTGTTGTTGTGTGTATCCATGTCCGCAGATCTGCCCAGCCTTGGTGGCCATGCAGGGTGCCAAGCATGATGTGCACAGCACGGTCCCATGCTGAGAGGCCCAGGTCCTCAGGGTAGAGGGTCAAACTGTGGGAAGAACGAGGACAAGTGTCCCCAGCGATTCCAAAGCAATAGGTTCTGTAGCTGGTGGGATGTGGAGAGAAGCTCCCTGATTTCAGGGGTGAGGGAGGGCACCTCTTTTTCACAGATGCCCCAGACAGACCATGTGGGAGAGAGCCGTGGGGCTCCCGGAGAAGCCCTGCATTTCTTCAGCCCCTCAACCCTGGGTGCACATTAGAGCCAGGAGGAGAGGGCTTTCCTCAGTTCCTTATGCCCAGGCTGCACCCAGACCAATTAATCTGGGCCCCTGGTGTTCCCTGCACCGTGGTGTTTCTAGAAGGTTCCCAATGGCTCTGATGTGCAGCCACATCTGACACCCTCCACCTGGCCAGCTCTGGCTGGACCTGAGCCTCGTCTACCTGGGAGGACAGGCGGAGGAAAGGGCCAGCTCCGGGTGCTGTCTGGTCTGACGTCCCGGGCACTGGCCGCTGTCCTAGCCCTGGTGCAGCAAGGCCCACATGCCCCCTGAGCACTGTGTGGGGTGAGAGCTGGCTGTCCTCTGCCTCCAGCCAGCTCACTGGTAAGTAGCTCACCCCTGAGGGCCAACTCTATTCCTTTTATTTTACCTACTTATCTGACCACGTAGCTGGGTTTTTTTAAGTATTTTTTTAATTGTGGGTGGACATAATGCCTTTATTTTTATTTATTTATCTTTATGAGGTGCCTCACCCATGCTAGGTGAGCACTCCACCTCTGAGTCCCAACCCCAGCCTCCATGTAGCTGCTTTAAATTCTAGAATATATTCAGCAAATCTTACCCTCTGAACTCAGGGTCTGAAGTTCTGATGATCTGGTGCTCATAGGCAGAGGAACAAAGGTAGTTTTTTTAAGGTTTGGGGGTTTCTCTTTGAAAAAGGCATTTAATTAAAATCACAACATGTATGTGAAAAAAATATTTAAATTGAATACTGAGGAAATTTAGAAACCTTTTATAAATCCAGTAGAAGTTGCTTCCTGCTTTTCAGCGGTGCTACCTCTTACCTAAATGGCCATTTGTTTGTAGAGTGGGTAGAACTTAACATTCCTGTGATGTGTCGCACACTGATTATCCCTGCATATAATTCCTCAGTATTCAGAAACCTCGATGTAAGTGGGAAAAGGGAATGGCTACAGTGGATATAAAGATAGTTACTTTGTTTTACTGTTTATTTGGTAATATTCACCAGTCATGGACTTGTGGTGATCTCATTCATTCAATTGCAAGTGAAGGGTCAAGACGAAACGTCATTCACATAATTGAAGATGCTCTGGGCATCCTTCCCAACCCGACGGCTCTCGGTGAATGAACTAGTCCCTTCCCGAGAGGCTCATTTCTACCATGTACTTTGTGGCTGCTCTCTGTGGCCTGGTTTCTTTCACCTTGTCTCTGCAGCCAGGCTCGACCTTAGCATACAGGGCTCCAGCAAAGTCGAGACAGGCAGAGTGTCCTCGAGGTGTGAACCCCTTGGGGGAGCTGGAGGGCTCTCGGGGCCTGCGGTTCTAGCTGCGTAACACTGGAGCAGACTGCTGCCAGGCCCACGGTCTGCAGCTCCACTCACTCCTTGTCTGGAGAATAGAGTAGGGCTAGGTGTGGCTCCAGCCGTGGGAGAGTCAGCAGAGAGGAGGCTGTGTCTGCCCACCCTCTGCCCGTCAAAGAGAGAGGGATGAATACACAGTCATCACAGGTGCTCACTCACCAGCCCAGGCAATGCCTGCTGTTGGAAAATCAGGCTGACCCATTCTTTTCATGGCTCCACCAGAAAACAAGACCCTCTTGACGATGCAGGGTGGGACCTCAGCCCAGGTCCTCCAGAAACCAAGAGAAAAGGAAATAGCACGTTGGCACAATTTACTGAGAACCAAGTAGACAGCTCGACCTTTGGTCTGCTGGGTTCACCTGAAGATCTTAGAAAGGTCAAGGAAGTGCCCACTGTGGCCAGAGTGCTGGGTGGAGCTGTGCAGGGCTGGAGCTGGGCATGGTCCTCGCACCTGCACCAGGAGGTGACCCTCACCTGGGTGGATGCTGCAGCGCCCACACAGTGTTCTCCCAGTCTGGCTACCTGGGCACAGAGCATGCAGACACTGCTCCCTTAAGAAGCCTCAGAATCAGCGTGCTGTAGAAAAGTGTGATTCTTAGGGAACAGAGCAGGGCCTGGTGGTGCAGAATGAACAGAGAGGAGTCCACCCTCCCCAGCCTCGGGGCACCCCCCAAACCTGCCAGAGTGGTTAAAGCAATCAGCAAACCTCCCTTTAAGCCCTGCCTCCCCAGACACTGCCAGTGGCTGGTGGCCTCTCAGCTGATGATCTTTCCTCTGGATAGAAGGTTTCAGAGAGGACGTGATAGATCAACACAAGGCTGTGGAAGGCCCTGACACACAGTGAGGCAAGGGCTCCCTTCTGTCTGGAAGGCTTGGGTGAGCTTCACCAAAGGGGCAGATTGCACACTCCGTCCTCGAGTTGTGGGAGAAATGGCATGAAGCTGGGGACACCTGTGGTTCATGAGGACAGTCAAGGGTCTGGGGGTCCTGGAGGAAGACAGGGCTCAACCAGGGAGCTGTACCAAACAGCTTCTGATTATCTACCATGTGGAGAGGTCAGTGCCATCCTGTAGGGAGCCCCTGGGTGATGGAGGAGCGATGGTGTGAAGGCCACAGCACCCCACGCATGTCCACTCCAGGGTTCTAGGCCCATCCTCCCCACCTGTGTCCTACGGTGAGCTAAGAATGGTTCTAACATTTTTAGATAATTGGAGAAATAAAACAAAATAGGGGATTATCCTATGAAATGTAAAATCTATGTAGATTTAAACCTCATTAAATCTGCCCAAGTGGCCTCCCATGCTTACCCATGGTCTGGGCTGCTGGACAGGGACAGAGCTGAGGAGCCAGGACAGTGATCACTTAGCCACCAGGAAATCCAATGGTCACTGCAGAGACCTCTGCAGGAAAAGCTGCTGACCTGGATCTAAGCCACCTCTGTGGCACCTCTGGACAGTATGTTACCACCCAAGATGTCCTGAAATCTGTTAAGTCCCCAGCCTACGCGGGTTCCCCTCTGTGGCTGATCCTTTGGCTATTCCCAGCTTTTAAATTCTATAAGCCCAGATCTTGGAATCGTCTTGGAGCCTCCTCTTCCACTCCACCAACACCTCCTCACTTGCTGTCTTGACCTCTTCCCTGGTCCAGGCCTGTGGCCCCAGGAGTCCCAAGGTGGGGGCCTCAGACGTCTGACCCGGTGGCCCTGGCGGCCCCAGCCCCCTGCTCCACAGTTCCTCTGGAGCTGGTTCTCCTTCCTGCAACCTGGAAGGCGTCCCCTGGCCCTTTTCCTGTCACCCACCCCCTGCCTTACTCCAGGGCACCTCCTTCGCTGCCTTCTCCGAGGACCCCCAGCCTCTTGTGAGGTCCTCCCCTATTCCTGTCTACATGACCTTTGGGCGGCATGTACTTCTGCTCTCTGCAGCCCACAGGGTAGCTCCATTTCTCATCCCTGGGTCATTTCACCCCTGAATATCTTATCTTCCCACGAGGCTATAAGTTTCTGGTGTGCAAGAGGCCTTGTGCGTGGGTCTCCTGTGCAGTTCAGGGCAGATAAGGCAGGGAGTGGCCACGTGAAGGGTGACCCATGGAGAGATGTCTCCAAGACCCTGTAAGCACACTGTCTGCATTGCAGGCTTTATCTAACAGGCCATTTGACAAAAAGGCTCCTTTTCCCATATAAGATTCTGCATCCACATTTTAATGTGCTTGTGGTGAACTATGTGCTCACAGTAAAAGCTCTGAGCACCAGGGTTGCAGATTACAATGTGGAAGGTCAGATGGACTAGGCAGGCCTCAAGGTCACCAGCTCCTGGTGGAAGTGAGACCTCATGATAGATATCCTTTGCTCACATTTTTTTTGTCTAGTTTTCATGGAAATTCGGGGTTGTAAGGGCATATTTATCTATTCCCTGCACGCAAATGCTAATGCACAAGGAAACAGACACTCCTAGGAGAATAAGCTGCTCATGTTCAGAAAGAAGCTACACACACAGAGTAGGCAGGAAGAAGCTCTGGTGGGAAGTCTGTGTTTGTTTGCTTTGGGGTTTTTAATTTGCATATTGCAGCCATAATTAATCCTAGGCACGGTGATTGTGTAGTTCTTCCTGCATACAGGGACAAGATGCTAGGAGAGGTGGTGGTCAGGGCCATCAACACCTGTTGCCTTCTGGGGGGATGTGATAATGTTCCTCATGCCTTCCCAAAGTCAGCTGGGCACCCAGGATCTTAGAAAATGCTGTCTGCTCTTTGATGGAAAAGCAGCTGGATTTAAAATATATCTGGGGACTGAGAGTGTAACTCCATGTAGAGCAGTTTCCTAGCATGTACAAGGCCCTGGGTTTGATCCCTGGTATCAAAAACAAAATCTGTTTGTTACTTGCCATGCATTTGATCTCTGTTAGGTTGCTCTCATCTGACAAAGCAGGGCTTGGTCAGTCCTGGGGGAGAAGAAGTTGGGGAGTACCAGGGCCAATGCTCCCTGCCCCTGTCCTGCAGTGCACCAGAGTCAGCATCATGACTCAGATGTACTGATGCTAAGGGATTTGTGGACATTCACAAATAGGCAATATTAGGATCATTCCTTTCTTGAATGATCTAAAGTATAGATATTCTTATTTTTGTTTTGAATAAACACAAAAAATTGTTTATGTTCAGTAGAAGGATAGATATGAGGTAAATATTGTCATAATTATTTGAGTGAAATGAGTTGACGGGTGAATCAAGAAGTTATTGACAGTTTACTTGCCGGATAGATACAATTGTAAACTATGCTCTTGGTATAACCCAGATGTGGCGTCTGAGGTTTAGACACTGGGGTGGGAGGTGCTCCCTCCTGCTGACGTCAATTCACGACTTCAGGATGATTTCAAGCCATCCAAGTAAGGCAAGAGTAGAAGTGCAGTCACGGTAGAGACTCCCTTTAAAGGCTGCTGCCCCGTAGATGTCGCACTGTTTAACAGACAGAAGGCTGATAAGACCAGGCAACCTGCGCCCTGACTGTGGCCCAGGCTCTCCCCTGTGTGTCTGTCTTGCCCTTGGTCAGCCTTGGTTTCCACATCTCTGAGGTGGGCATGCAGCAGCATGTCACTAGGAGGTGGTGGGCTAGAGGAGTCACGTTAGAGAGCGCTGTGAGTAGACGGCAGTGGTACCCAGTGTGGCCACCACGACACAGACAGACAGCAGGATGGAGCTGATACCCAGGAGGCAGCCACCGGCTCCCCTTACCCTGCACTACTCTCCTGCCTGAGGACCCTGGCCAGCGCTGAGCAGAGCCACTCCCAAGCCTGCCACATCTGCCACAGCCCCCCAGCACTAGCTGCTGTTGAACTGTAGACCCAAGTTGGTCCTTGAGCATTTTTTAGAAATGGACATTATCTAGTTTCAAAACAAAGCAACTGTTTTTCCTGTTTACCTGGACCACTTCTTCTCTCATTCCTGAACCCATAGCTAGCCTTCATCAGATTATTAAAAGGGAAAAGATGTCCCTAGTATACATTATTTCATTTCCCCTAGTTTCCATAACCCTATTTTTAACAAAATTCTAAATGATGAAAATCAAGAACTTTAGTCCACATCCAGAGCATCCCAAAGTACCCCAGGCAGTGACACTGAGGACTTTGGTGGCCACTGTCTGGCCCCTCTGGTTGCTCCCACATGTGCCCAGGTGGCTGCCCTCAGAGGCCTGGCAAGGCTGCTCTTAGACCTGCAGCATGCCCACCCTGAGGTACAGTTCTGCTACTTAGTAAAGAGCATTCAGAAAGCAGGGGGAGGAGACCACTCGGGAGGCAACTGACCTCGGGCATGCTGAGCTACCCAAGTGGGAGCTGTTCCCAGGGCTGTGCTGGGCAGAGCGCACGACAGAGAGGACAGTCTGCCCTTCTCTTGCTGTGTGTGCAAGCCACTAACATATGCAATTTGCTTTGTGGTTTGGGGCAGGAGGCTGAGAAGAGTCAGGTGGCCAATTTGCCTTCTGGGTTCTGGTCTCCACTGCCTCATCCTGTCACCCAGGAGGCACCTCGTCCCCAGTGTCCTGAGTGTGCGTTCTCTAGTCAGCCCTTAGTTAGCGGCCACGACCCCTCCGCCTATCCCTCCTGTGCCTCCCAGTTGGTGCCCTGGGGAGGGTCTGGATATGACTCGGAAGATGGCTCAGCTGTGTGAGAGGGTGTGTTGTGTGGGTTGTCTCTGGAGGAAGGCGCTGCATTTGAGTTCTAGACAGAGGGCTGCTGGAGGCCAACAATCAGAGAACAGTGTCCTGGCAGCCACAGGAATGGAGGTGGCCTCTTTAGAGACACAGCCTTCTGCTCTGCCGTGGAGGGCCAGGCACAACAGAATGCAGGCCAAGCTGCTCTTAGGGCAGCCTGCGTAGGGCTGACCATGGCAGCTGGAGAGAGGAGAAGAAGCTCCTGAGGGAGGGTGAAGGCACCTGCAGAGTCCAGCTCCACGGGGGTCTGCAGACACGGGATATAAGGTGGATCCATGCACCCACACAAATGAACGCACTCTGACATCCTGGCAGTGATACTGTATGAGTAGGAAAAGGTCCCATCCTGATACATGACCGACTCAGACATTTTACCATCCTGGTACTAAAGGAGGTTTTAAGGAGCTCTAAAAATAACTCTCTTTCCTCCTGCCTGCTGTTAGTGAAGACAGCTGTTCCTAAGGGACACTGAGCAGTCCAGGCTCCTTGCAGGCAGACAGAGAGGCTGCTGACATAAAGGGTTAGTGCCTGACTTCACAGCCAGCAGCCAGTCAGGGGTGTCTTGACACTAACCCTGATCCAGGGCCACAGGTGTGTGTGATATTCTACCTTTCCCTCCACAGCCTGTATGGGATGTATAGGATAAGGGCTATTTGGGTCACATTGTCCAGTCTGCAGGCCCAGCCAAAAATCCATTTCCCAAAGCACAGGGTCTCCATAACCCCAACAAGTGATCCCCATATGGCCCTTGAATCTGAGTCACCTACATGTGGAACACAGAGCCCAAGCTGACCTCTACAATATCCCCCACCCCAGCTGAGGATCTGTGGAAGTCCCCACCCCCAGACAAACTGGTTCCTCAAGCCCTGACCAGACTGGAACTGTCACGATCTGTAGCCCGATCCAAGCCAGGGGTGTTCCTTTACAGGGAGGGGAAGTTGCCACGCATGTCTGTGCAGTCTGTTGAAGAAAAGGGTGTGTTCTTTCCCAGCTCGCCCCAGCCCTCTGCTAACCGAACACCGGCCATGTTAAAAAGGGAAAGAAGACAGAGGTCCTCTTTGTGAGAAGCCCCCACATCGTGTTCCCCATCGCTGTGTGTTTAAATGCGGGGGCGGGGCGGCGGGGGAGCTGTGTGTCCCCGCGTCCTGGGCTCGGGGCCTGAGTCGTCCTGTCCGCTGTCTCCGCAGCGAAGCGGTACTGCAAGACCGCCAGCCCCAGCAGCAGCACCACCAGCAGCTACGCGCCCAGCAGCAGCAGCAACCTGAGCTGCGGCGGCGGCAGCAGCGCCAGCAGCACGTGCAGCAAGAGCAGCTTCGACTACACGCACGACGTGGAGGCCGCGCACATGGCGGCCGCCGCCATCCTCAACCTGTCCACGCGCTGCCGCGAGATGCCACAGAACCTGTCCACCAAGCCACAGGACCTGTGTGCCGCGCGGGTACGCCCACCTGCGCCTGGCCGCGGGCGGGCCCGGGAGGCGGGGCTTCTGCTGGAGCGACCGCACCGAGCCAGCTGCGCTGCCACCTGCGCGGGGGCGCTCTGCCGGTGCGGCAGGTCCTTCACCTGAGCAGTGAGGCGGCGCGGCTGCAGCTGCCCATTGCACCACTGCCCAGGAGACCCAGGTGTTCTAGGTCAGGAGAAATCGCCAGGCCTCTCCCTCTTTAGGGTGGAAAATCGGTTCTGTAAACTCTGAGCTCACAGTGTGACTGTTTGTAACTCAAACATCAAAAGTCTTCGTGGCGTTTCAAATGACCTCACAGAGAACTCAAAGAGCCAAGCACCTTGACGTTAAATGGGAGGAAGGTTTGGCAGCACCCTTATCAAATAGAGGCGGGCTGCCCCTCACCCACATTTCCAATAGATGGCCCGGGAGCAAGTCACATGGCGCTGCTAGTCCACACGGACACAGATGCTGGAAGGGAGCGCAGGGGTTGCCGGCTTTCCTATTGTTCATTTCCTCACCAAAGGGCTCCCACGTGTGCTCAGAGAGGAGCCGGAGCGCTCCCGACAGGCAGAATGGAGAGCTGTCTCGCCCGGGCCGCTAGGGGGCCGGCGAGAGCCCGGCTGCCAGGGAGTGGCCCATTGTGTTCTGAGCGCAGGCTCTGGCTTGTGGATGTCAGCCACTCTCCAGACAGACAAAGGGCGCTCTCTCCATTATCTAAAGCCAGTCGGCCATGCTGCATTCGCTAACAGCTCTGACAGTAGTCCTTATAAATGAGTATAATTTGTGTGGATGGAGACAGGTCAGTAATCATGTTTTGCAAATGCTTTTTCTTTTTGATATTTTTATTCCTAGTAGTGGAGCAGCATTAGGGGCGTGCAGTTTTCATGTGATCAGGGCTGATAAAATGCAAGACTACCATGAAAGATCCCTCCGGGGCAAGACAAAAACTTTTAGTTTAGTTGAGTTTAGTTTTCACTTTCTTAAACTAAGAGAGTAACTCAAACATCATGTCAGCCGAAATGAGTATCAGAGCTGGAGATCAGGATGTTCTTTGGCAGGATGATGCTGGACTCCCAGTGGTGGATCCTCCTTGGCAATGACATCCAGAGGGAAGTGCTGCTGGGTCCTTCCTGGCAGGCAGCAGTTTCACTCCATCTCTGACATCACATTTTTGTCCAAAAAAGCATAACTCTGCCAGAAAAGTGGAGAATTATTGGGGGCATTTCTGTCCTCCATGGCCCCTCTCCCCCTCCTCCTGCAGGTGGGGAGGAGCCTTATCTCCCTGAAGCATTCTTACCTTGAAACGCACCTCTCTGGTTTGTTCCTGGGCAGTTGGCTGCAGGGCAGGGTGCTGACGCGTAGAGCAGGTCGGACCCAGCCCTGTGCCAGGCTGGGCTGCATACCTCGTCTGCAAGCAGAGTCCTCAGCACTGCACAGGGTTCAGAAAGAAAATCAGTTCCTTTCCCTCCTTCCTTCATCCTTGAGTCTTTCGTTTTCCTCCTAATTCTTGAAACATTGGCATCAATGAAACTAAAGGAGAGTTCATAAGCTGCATGTACACACACAGACATACACACGGAGAGACACACACATTTTTGATCTTGTAGGCATCTGAACTCTAATGACATCAAAAAGAAGTACTTCTTTGAATTTCTTATGGCCATGCTCATTTCTAAAAGCAGAGATGCACTTGAGGGAATGGGAAAAGAGAGGGAGGGGGGAAAGATGGCAGAAAAATAGGGAAAAGGTCAAATGGAGGGACAGATCCATTCATCAGTCTCCACACAATTTTCCAGGTAAGCCCCGGGTAGCTGACATGGCCATCAGACCAAGCTGGCCTGCCTTGGGAGTGACAGTAATGAGGAGTTTGGGGGTGAACATGACACTGCTGAGGGCAGGGCCACAGTCTGGGCACACAGGATGGGAGGTTCCAAGTGCTCAGGCCCGGCTGTCACATGTCTCTCTGCCAACAGAACCCTGACATGGACGTGGATGAGAATGGCACCCTGGACCTCAGCATGAACAAACAGAGGCCTCGGGATAGCTGCTGCCCCGTCCTGACGCCTCTGGAGCCCATGTCCCCTCAGCAGCAGGCAGTGATGAGCAGCCGGTGCTTCCAGCTCAGCGAGGGCGACTGCTGGGACTTGCCAGTGGACTACACCAAGATGAAGCCCCGACGGGTGGACGAGGATGACCCCAAAGAGATGGCCGTACGTCCTTTGTCCCTTCTCTTGGCTCTGGCTGTGATCTTTGAGAGGCTGGAGTCGGCCTGGCTGAGAGCAGATGCCATTTGCACACCCTTCAAAACAAGCCCAGTTTTTCTTTAAATATGGCTTTCAGCTGCCTAGGATTTAGGTAGGGACACTTCTCCCTGACCTGGAAGAGATGGTGGCTTACCGGTTTGGGGGAAACAAACTGTTGACTCTTACATTGTGTTCCTGACAAGTGTGCTTTGCTACAAACCTTCCTCTGGGGAAAGGCACAGGCAGCACTAGTTCCTTGTCAAAGCAGCAGCTCAGGTTTCTCTGCCAGGAGAGGCTGGCAATGAGCAGTGAGTGTGGGAAGCAGCCGATGGCTGCCGGCATGCTCTCTGAAGCGAAGGACAGGGCTCCTCTCCGAGACCACAGCCTCAGAGGAGTGTGCCTGGCCTTGAAGGCACAATCACCCAGCCTTGTTAGGACCATATGACACCTTGTCAAGAACATACTGTTGAAGGAATTTGAATTTTCAGATTCAGGTTATTAAAGTGGATAGAATGTCCCTTGGGCTAAAAGAGGAAGGAAGGAAGGAAGGAAGGATTATTTTTCTTTATTGGATTTTTTCATCCATATTTAGACTCTCCTTTATTCCCTCAAAATGAACCCCCACCAAGCAATCGTGTCTTACAGAAACAAGGAGGTGGGAAAAGAAATATTAGCTCCATGAAGGAACTGACAGGGAAGCCACATGCCCATAAGTCTATTGTGTTTATTCCTCAAATTGATTTAAGTATCTAGACATCGTGGAAAAAAATCAAATCTGGGTGGCAAGCTAAATTCCAAAAAATTGTTGTTCTCTCCTGCAATGTTAAATCATTACTACCAAAAAATACATTGTATTTGAATCCCCAAATTTATTATAATTAGAATTAAGCTCCCATACACAGGGACAAAAACTCTCATCTTGTAGGTCCTATGAGGAACAGAGCTGTGCAGTGTGAATTGAGGGCACCAACTGCCGGCGCTGCCACCTATAGGGATTCATAGGTTACTGCAAGTGGACGCAACTAAACCCAGGTACTCAGAAAATGCTGCCTAAGGGCAGTTTAAGATCACATTCACACAGTTGTCTTCCATCGACTGAGACTTGGAGGCACCTATATTAAAACACTCACCAGTGATCTCGTGCTGAGGAGCAGTGCAGTGTCAGTGGTGGACAGCAGGCAGCCCCGGGGTACTGGATGAGAGAGACCCCCAGCTGCCACACTGGCTGTGAGTCCTGTTGCAATCTGGCCAGCAGGAGACTGAGTAAGGGCTCTGACCACTGGCAGTTTACCATGGACTTTGAAATCTAGAGCAGCTGTACACGGGGCAGTCTGCTTTCTCAGAAGGAGCCTTGTCAGGGAACAGAAGCGTTGGGTTATGAATTGTGGGAGAAGAGGTGGGGGAGCAGAGCCGGAGCCCAGCGGGCGTGGGCCCTTCTCGGCCTGGCACTGAGGTCCGGCACTGGCTCTGAAGCTGTCTGTGTTCTGTCTACAGCCAGAAGACCTGGACCCGTTCCAGGAGGCTCTGGAAGAAAGAAGGTACCCTGGGGAGGTGACCATCCCGAGCCCCAAGCCCAAGTACCCCCAGTGCAAGGAGAGCAAAAAGGACCTAATAACGTAAGCATGACGCGAGGTGAAGCTCCGACTCTCCTCGGTCCTCCCTTCCTTTGGCTTATTCCTAAAGACCGGTCTGCACCCGCCTTGCCGTTTGAGCATGCGCGTTCGCGGCACCCGGCTCTCCAGCTGCCAGTCAGTAGGCGAGAGGCTGACCTGTGCCTGCGGGTTCTCAATGATGCTCTGTCGTTCGGAAGCGTCATCTCCTTTGATCCTGTGCACTTCCCAGCTGTCCTTCAGGGTGCTTAACCCCCTTGCAGACATTGCAGCTAAACTGGAAACAATGAAACTCTTTGGAAGTTTTCTAAACGTACTTACTGTTCTGGCTGTTCTGTTTTTGTTTGGTGGCAGATGTCCAACTCCGGGGTGTGATGGGAGTGGTCATGTGACTGGCAATTACGCCTCACACAGAAGGTGTGGCTTCATTCTCTCATGGTGGATTCTGTCTTCAATTTATTGTTTTCAGCTTACCTCAACAATGCTGTCAAGTACCAACGTTGATTCTGTGTGACCCTAAGTGCTCTATGTTGACCTTCAAAAGCATGCCGACTGACGTGTTGTATAATGTCTTTTAATCCCAAACTGCCAAAATTCGCAAAATTCTTCTCAAACACTTAAACCTAAAAGCACAATTTTTAAAAAAAAAATGCTTATTAACAGAAATGTTTTCTTAAATTTACATTTGTACATATTCAGAATTAATGATACAAAAAATTCAATATACAGCACTTGCCCCATTGCTCTTCTGCATTGAACTTTTTAATTTCGACTGTATGTTGTGTTCGTTCGGGCGATTCCACTGCCTAGAGGCTCACTCACCTGCCCCCCCTGGCCTGTCTTACAGTCTGTCCGGCTGCCCACTGGCTGACAAAAGCATTCGAAGTATGCTGGCCACCAGTTCACAAGAACTCAAGTAAGCTTTAATGAAAACAATTCTCTTTTAAAAACCTATTCATTCAGTAGTTCACAAAAAAATGATGGGTCATTTGAAAAGAAAATGCTTTGAAGGAGCCACCTTGGCGTACCAGTGCCATATTTAGTGCACAGGATGGGGCTTCGGGCTCAGCACATTTCTGGAAGATCCCTCCGCCATGTTCCCTTATATGCATCTCTAGTTCTTTCACATCACATCCTTCCTATCTAGAATTGTCTGAAGCACGGGTCTTATCTTCAGGTATGCATGCACCTGCAAGGAAAATTTTACAGAGGTACTCAAACTTTTAGAAGTGACTATAGTTTAAAAAAGAAAAATTAAGGACTGGGGCTGTAGCTCAGTGGCAGAGTGCTTGCCTCACTCATGGAAGGTACTAGGTTCGACCCTCAGCACCACACAAAAATAAAATAAAGGCATTGTGTCCACATACAACTAAAAAAAAAAAAAAAAAGTTAAGCTTTTAAACTCAGAAATTCATGTAATTACTCAAAGTATGCATACTTCAGTAGCCCAAAGGAGAAGTCTGCCGTACTAGTTCCATAAGACACGGGTACTGTTGTGAGTTAGTACTGCTCAGGATGATGCTGCGTGAATCTGTGCAGCCGTGCCGTCACGCTGCATACGCACACACACTGTCCAGCAGTCCTGCCTCCCCGTCCCCTAAGCCTGTGACTTTCAAGCATGAATCTGGCAAAACTGCACCCACCAGCATCTGCAGCAGCCATGGAGGCTTTCCTTCTCCGAGTCTCCCCAGGGCACGTTCCAGGCCCAGACAGGACATGGGAGGAGCAGGGGTGAGTCCTGAGGGTGTGTGAGACCGCCAGGCCTCTTGTGAGGTGGTCCTTGGTGCTTGTGAGAACAGACGGGACAGTCCACACGTGACGAGAGCCAGGCGCCCAGGCAGTTGTGTGTCCCCTTTGATACCCCACCTCAGGACAGGGTTCTTGCTTTCCCTTCTGTTTGGAGAGGCTGTGCCCACGCCAGGAAAAGGCTGTGTTCCCCGTGTCCATCCTCCCAGCAGTCCTTCCCCTGCCCTCACTGTGGCCACAGACCAGGCTCCACAGAGCGCAGGCCGTCATTTCACACCCTGTCGTTTCTTGCAGGATCCCTGTCCAAGGCCCTAGTGCCATAGACCACCTGCTCATGTTCAGTGACTTCCTGAACTAGCCCTTGCGCCTCACGCCTCTCGGAGCTCTCTTCATGGACTGTGACCCCTGGAGGGCTTCCTCTTACATTGCAGTCCATAGCCTGGTCCAGAGCAGTGCCTGGTGGACACTTAGCCGTAGCACCTCAAAGCGGACAGCCTTAGCAGGAGCCATTCACCACACCCTGACCAGGCCTCTCCTGTCCCGGTGGGGACCACACTTTCCTGGTGGCCCACAGTGACTCTCTGCACTTGGACCCTGGCCTTCACGTCAGAAGGTGGCAACAGTCCTTTGCATTTCTTGATGAGGAGTACTTTGCAAAACTTGGGCAGATCTCCGTTTCCGACAGGCCAGCTGTCGGCCAGAAAGCAGCCTGGGTGCTGCTGCCTCTGTGTTCTTCTGACTGCTCACGCTCGCCCGAGCCCAGAGCCGTCTCTGACCAGGCACTGGCTTTGGCTTCTCTCCCTTAGTGCTGGGCTTGGAAGCTGATCCGCATCCCAGATTCCGGGCAGACCCCTGCTTCTGCAGTCCCCACCTTCCCTCTTCTCCCCCGCCCACTGGGGAGGTATGGTGGTGGTTCTCTCTCTTGTCCTCCAGAGCAGCACAGGCCCGGCCACACCTTCTTGCTGCCTGGGGAGACACATGCAGTTCCAATCCTGTCTTTGCAAATAAGCTCCCCTTTGCTTGATCCTTGCTAGGAAATCTAAACTCAAATTATTTTCTGAAATGATCTCTTTCTATTAATGGATCTTCAAAACTAAGAATTTCCATTCAGTGCCTTCTGTAAGGAGTTTTATGCTTGAGTGGCCCATTTTCACATGCTGATGTCTTTTCAAACTGAGGAAACCGTGGATCAAAATATGATCTTTGCCTTTGACATTTTAGCCAGTGAGCTCATCTCTTCTGCGTTTGGAGTCAGAAAGCTTGGCTGGGGCTTTCCTGAGCAGAGGAGCATGGACCAACCCTAGATGTATGACCATTTCCTGGAGAGTGATTCACACCCAAGCCCTTTCCCATGAACCTCTCTTCATACGCATGTTTTAAAGATTGATCCGTTCCTACAGCAGCCTCCCACCTGAGCAGACCAGCAGAGTCCCTACTCAGTGTTCAAGGCAGCCCTGTAGTGGTTCATGGAGACCTGTAGGCAGCGGGTCCCGTTCCCTCAAGAAGTCCTCTCTTTGCATCAGATGACACGTGAAGTTTTCTGGGAGTTTTCCTCTTGTCATTTCCATCACTGAATTCTTTTAGTTGGCCATTAACAGGACACTCTTTACTGCACAAGATGAATCTCACCAGGGGTACCCGAGGTCTTGCACCCTCAAAGCTCTTTGACTTCCTGAGTTAACACTGTGCTTAGTTCTTACCTGTAGCAATGGATGTGCAATAGTTTAATAAGAAATCAATAATTTCGTGTCTGATTGTGTATGGTATGTAAACTGAAAACATATTAAAATGTAATGTGTGCATGAATCTTATTCAAACACCAGAACACTACTTTCTCTGGTCCCTCATACCACTGATATAGAGCCGTTCAGTTGTGGGGAATGAGGAGGGATGCAGGGATGCAGGGGAAACCACAGGTGCTCAGAGGCAGGGTCCAGGACAGCTCTACACACCTTCCCCCAACCGCCTCCCAGGGCCATGGGAGGAGTCCCTGGCTGTGACGCTGAGGCCACAAGTCAAAAAACAACAAAACTGTGCAAATTAAAGTGAATTTTTGGCAAGAACTCTGCTTTATATGGTTCCAAAGGGTAGTTTCTTCTCTTTAAGTTTCATTCTCTAAGACTTCCTAAAAGAAGCCCCAGGAAAGCACTTGCAAATCCCCCCGCCCCCGGGTTGGCCGCTGCTCTTTCTAGGGACCATGCCTCCCAACAGAAATCCCTTTCCTACTCCAGACCTGTGTCCAGTACAGACACCAGGAAGTAGGTGTTTCAGCATCTCCAGGACAATTTAGGCAAAGTCCAAGTTGATTTCAGGCAGTGGCCATGAGTTCTTCAAACAGGGCTCCAAACCAGATTCCACTGACAACTTGTCTGCCCAAATTCAGATACTCATCCTCACCCAGGCTTCAGCTCACAGACGAGTGCCGTCGTTAGCACGAGGCCTGGTGGGAAGAGGGACTTGAGGCTGCAGGGGGTCTTGGCTCCTCCATCTGCCCTTGACATGGGGGTCCTGCCGCTGCTCTCACTGCTCACCAGCTCTAGAGTCTCTGGCCATGACGAGGGGGCTGAGGCTTAGGCAAATAGCAAGTTTAGCCACACATGACATGACCCTGCTTTTGTAGCCTGGTTATAGTTATTTTAAAATAAAGTGTAAATCAAAGAATTAAAATCTTGAACTTGGGTCAAAACCTAAAGGCTACTTATTTCTGGGCTGTCCTTGGGCTTGTGTGTTGGGCTGTAAACCTCAGGCAGGTGCAGGGTCGTCATTTGCAGGGCTCTGCCAGAGGACACGCATCCCGCAGCACCAGATTCGGAGAGCAGAAGGTTCCTGCCCACTTGGCCTCCTGGGGAGCAGTCCTTATTCTGTCAACTCTGCCTCCTCCATTTACCACAGTGGACCTGTAGGACTTTGTGAGTTTTTGCTGCTATCCACTCGGGCCTGGTTTCAACAGATAGCCGTATTTCCTTCTTGAGTGTTGGCCTCTGAGTAAGCTCAGCTCATGATGACAGTTGTGAGATCCCGGCCTCTCCACAGAGCAGGGGTGTCTTGCACTTTGAAGTTACCCCAGGACCCTCGATTCAGTTAGATGTCCCCTAGTTCAGCAGCAGTCTCCCCCAAGCCCTGACGCTGCACGGCACCTCTGCAGGAGCACACATCTTGGTGAGATGGGGTGTCCCAGGAAGGTCTCCGGCACACCATCAGTAGGGACCAGGTGAGCCCTTCCGTGGCCCTGAGATTTTGCCTCCTGCCCCGAGCCACCCCTAGATCAGAGAAACCTGTTGGAAAGACATACTTTACGTGTCTCCGGCGCATGGCAGTTGGCAGAGTCAACCCAGCTTCCACACACGTCGTGGGACCTGTAAGCCAAAGTGGCAGGGGGCTCAGGTCCCCTTTACAGAGGAGGGGACTGAGGCCTGGAGTGGCCTCTCAGTCCAGAGGCAGCAATGGAGTTGGAGCCATACGTCACGCTCCCCTGAGTCCCATCTATGTGTTGGGCCCCCGAGAGGCTGTGTGCAGCTATGGCTGACRGCACGCTGACACAAGCTTGCCCTTGAGTGGATTTCTTATGACCCACACAGGGCTGTCAGGAAATCCCTGGGCCAGCCAGCAGCTGCCGGGCTCCCAGGGACCCCTCACCCACCATGGGAAGCCCTGTTCTCAGCCCCTCTCATGAGCAGCTAAATGCATTTTGTTCTTGGTCCAGCAAGTGCTTAGTTCTTCCATTTCTATTTCGATGTCTATAAAAGGTATTATAAGGCTTGCACAAGAGCAAATTCAAAACTACCAAATATAATTATAGATAAGCTCATGTTTTACCACAAGTAAGGCCAGCTCCAGCTCAACGTGTGGGCAGGCACGATATGGTAGATTCCAAAATAAGAATGTCTGGGGTTTGCGTCGATCACGGGCATGCACACGGGTGCACACAGACCTGTGACTGGAAAAAGGAGGGTCCCCTGAGTGGTGGCTCACTGGTTCCCACAAGGGGGGAAGCAGAACGGCCTCTGGCTGCTCTCCGACCCTCATGAGTTCCTGCCCCTCAGCGAGCACACCACGGAATGAACCCCAGGTGGGGACAGCCTGGACCCTGCAGGACATGCCTCCTTGGAACGTTTGCTGGTCCAGCAAGATCCCTGCCCTGAGTCCCCTCAGAGCCACAGGTGAGAGGCC